AAAGCCGACCGAGGATATGATGCTGCTCGAGAAGCAGGGTAGAAGCTCGCAGCGGCAACGGATGGCACCTCCGGAAATAGGCGGCGAGCCACGTCGCGCCGGGAGTTTGCCGCCCAGCTCGTTACCACGACCGCCGAGGGCACTCAAGGCGACCAGCGCCAACTCTCGCTACTGTCGTCTGAGCGATACGGAAACGCGCAAGAAGTCGGACCCCGGACCGGGGATGCTGGACACGTCATCCGTGACGGGCGGCGCGGTCAGTGGCGGCGGCGTGAAGATGATCCGCGACTCCTCCGGCAACTGCAGCATTGAGTACGGTAGATTCGACACCGGTGCCGCCGTCGCCGCGAAGGCGTCGCGCAGCAAGAAGAAGAACTCCATGGAGAGCTTCATGACGAACAGCTCGTTGAAGAAATCATCGGTCAGCTCAGAGATGACGAGCGGCGGGGGTGGTGGCGGCGGTCATGAGTACGAAAGGCTGCAGTCTGACACGATCATGATCAGTAATCGTAAGAAGTCGGTCGGCTGTGCGTTGGAATCGGCGGTGCGGCACAGGGAGATGCAGAGCCGCTCGTTCATACCGCCGCCGTCGTCTCGCACCCGCATAGGCGAGTATGGTCGTCTGAGCGATGGCGAGTCCTCGGTAGCGGCGGTGGCGGCGGTGGCAGCTGCTGTTCTCAAGGGAGGCGGTAACACCTTGAGGAAGCAGACGGGAGCGGGCGACTCGTCCCGCGGACAAAGCACCGGCAGCACCGTGAGCAGCAAGAGCGGCCGCGACTCTGGCGGCACTGCCAGCAGCGAGGCGTCCACGGCCTCCCTGCCGCCGACTAAGGCCAGGTCGATACCGCGTCCCGGCAATTACCGCATTCAATTCTGAGCGGCCTGTATTTATGCGCGACACCTGGACCGAGGATCCAGTCTCGGCCGAAGGACCAATCTCGGTCGGAACTGCCTAAGTAGCACATGTTGATTCATTACGACTTTTATATCCGCCGGCAGTGTTAGACTTTAAAGGCACAATCGATTTTTTATTGTAAATTCTAGATAATTTATTACATATTATATATGTTAACAGATTTCACCCTGTCGATGGTAATCCTCTGTTTAACACAAAATGTAGTTTATTTTCTTACTAATATTTTATTTAAACTTATTTCTCTAGTATTTAATGATTATGTTATTGTACGATCATTTTCTGTGAAATTGTTAATTTTTTAGAACGTTTTAATTATATTGACTCAAACAATATGATCGTGTAGTAAATTTGGACAGACCAGCAGGGTTAAATCTAAAAAAATAAGGAAAATATATAATTCAACTTTTATGACAGTAAAAACTTGTTAGAGCTTTCACACAAGAATGTGAATAGTACATTACGATACAAGTGCGCAAAGTAGATGTTTCCCACACGAGCGAAGTTTGTCGCCCGAGCGAAGCGAGGATGACAAAAAAGCGAGTGTGGGAACACCTACGCAGCGCACGAGTATCGTATACTATTTTTCCTACTATCGTGCGCAAAGTTCGATTTTCGAACTCGCTTCGCTCGGGCGACAAACTTCGCTCGTGTGGGAAACACCTACTTTGCGCACTCGCAGCGCACGAGTATCGTATACTATTTTTCCTACTAAGTGCGCAAAGTTCGATATCAACAACATTCGAAGTGGCGCGTTAAAAAGGTTATTGCGCTACAAAGAGCGAGAACTATAAACGAACGAGCGACGACTCGACGTGGACGCTCGTCTGTTTACAGCGTTCCCGCACGCATAACTACTTTCCCGCACGCTAAACTACAAGTGTGGGAAAGTGATACTTTGCGCACGCAAATGCGTGTGCAAAATCGAACTTTGCGCACGATAGTAGGAAAAATATATTATATTACATATTTCTAAAAATAGGGGAAATATTCTAAGTAAACAGAGTTACTGCTCCACTCTATATATATATATGTATTTATGTATACAGGATGGACCATCTGAAGTGATCCAGTCAAATATCTCGAAAACTAGTAGGGATAGAGAAAAATGTTTCGTATGAAAAGTTTAGGGTTACACGGGGGAAGTATGGTACTGACCTTGAAAAATCCTTGGAAGGTCATTTTGAAGGTCATTCAGGGGT